CTCAGCTCTTCAGCTCAAGGCTAGCGCTCTACCACTTGAGCCACAGCGCCACTTCCGGCTTTTTTTCTTTTTGCTTATGTGGTGCTGAGGAATCAAACTCAGGGCCTCATGCGTGCAAGGCAAGCGCTCTATCACTGAGCCACCTTCCCAGCCCCTATATTATTTTTCTTTATATCCATATATATGTATGTACATTACATACCATAGAGGACCTGTTTGTTTTGTGTATGATGTAGGTATTTGACTTTTTTTTTGGTGGGGGGGGGGTCAGTTGTGGAGCTTGAACTCTGGGCCTGGGCCCTGATCCTGAGCTCTTTAGCTCAAGGTGACTATTGTACAACTTTGAGCCACAGCATCACTTCAGGTTTTCTGGAAGGTAAGAGTCTCACAGACTTTCCTGCCCAGGCTGACTTTGAACCACAATCCTCAGATCTCAGCCTACTAAGTGGCTAGATTACAGGTTGAGCCACTGGTGCCAAGCTGTATTTGACTTTTTTGAGACAGAACCTTATAGCTCAGGCTGTTTTGGAAGCTGCTATGGCTTCAAACTTGAGATTCTTTTGCTTCTACCTTCTGAGTTCAGGAATTACACAGCTGTACCACTTTGCTTGACTGTTCATCTGTTTAAAATGTGCAGTTAGAGGCTTTTAGCTACATGGTGTTGGTAATATGTCATCAAGTTGGTTGGTTTCTTTTTTAACTCATTATCCACCTGCCTCCACCTCCCAAGCTCTGAGATTACAGGCATGTGCCACCACATGTCGTTTACTTACTTTTTTAAAAGAGAAAACAGATTAGAATACTAGTACAAGAGAGACACAGTGGGCTGCTATACAAAGAAATGTAGCACTGCTGTTGTATATGGGGTTGGGAAGAGACTTGTGAAACTACTAGGGATTTTGCTTTTCTCTTTGGGACTTGCTGATTGATAATTTTTTTTTCAAGTATGGTTTCAATAGGTTGTATGGGAAAATCACACCAGTTAGCTTTTACTTCCATATCCATGTTCCCCATTTCAGGTACTTTGTTTGCCTCCACATTCCATCTGGCTCTGGGTATTTTCTTGTCCATTATCTCTCTTTGAGGCTTTAAAGGGAGTCTTTTCTTCACATTCTCCTCTGACAGAGTGGCAGAACCAGACCCTGGTTTAGTGGGGCACAGTCTCTTCGAAACTGCTTCCTGCTGGATAGGAGTGTAGAAATGTCCCTGTTTGTGTGTTGCTCTGGCTGAGGATTATGGGGCAGTCCAAGGAGACTAAGGCTCCTTGAGTCTAATTGAATAGTAGAATAGAATTGTATGGAAGTGCTGGTCCAGGGGACTGAGTCACTGGATGGCAGTCTGGAAGAGAGGCTCAAGTTGTAGAGTATCAGCCAAGCGAGTGAGGCCCAGTACCCTCTCTCCCTCTCCATCCCCCCAAAAAAAGAAAATCACTGAAGGTCAGACAGTAGAAAATAGAACCACACTGCATCATCTGTAACTTTTATAATCGCCATCTTGGAGACTCCTGCCAAGAATAGATGATGTCCTCCATAAGAGGAGTAGTAGAAAATAAAGTATGAGGAGAGAGGCAGAGTCCTCATGCGTACTGCAGATGAGGGTTTGACATAGGATAGATAAGCTGTCCACCCTTGTGGAGTCTTTCCATTTGACTTTTTTTCCCTTGGCTTCTGTAAAGAGCTCTCCTGGCCAAAGGGGAAATAGATAATTCCATCCCAGAGTCTGTGTCTCAGGTCCCTGAACCCCCCAGACACCTGAGAGGAGGAGGCCTTTGGGTCTCTGAAGTTGCTGATATGAATAGGAAGAATTTCTTCTAAGTCTCCCCCATGTGGGCTACTATTTTGTGATGAATTTTTGGTAAAAGAATTTATTTGGTAAAAGAGTTTATTGAGATAGGAAAATAAGTGAAAGCAAAGATTAGGCCATGGTACAAGAGAGATATAGTGGGCTGCTGTACAAGGAGCATAGCACAGCTATTGCTGGCTGCAGCATTGGAACATTTCCCCAGCATCTGGAATATGGTCATTGTGTAAAAAAGAAACCTGGCGCCAGTGGCTCATACCTGTAATCCAAGCTGCTTAGGAGGCTGAGATCTGAGGATCACAGTTCAAAGCCAGCGTGGCCAGGAAAGTCCATGAGACTCTTTTTTTTTTTTGAGGGGGGGGTCCAGTTGTGGGGCCTGCACTCTGGGCCTGGGTGCTGTCCCTCAGCTCTTCAGCTCAAGGCTAGCGCTCGACTACTTGAGCCATAGTGCCACTTCCGGCTTTTTTCTTTTTGCTTATGTGGTGCTGAGGAAT